GGGGGTGTTTACTTGAGTATCTCGTTTTTTGGTTTTTCTACTGGGATATGTCATCCCTCTCTGTCTGGGTTGGCAGATCTACATTATTGACCATACTCTCCCCCCTTGCAAAATTGTAATAACACACAGGGACGCACGCGTGTGGGGAAATTCAACTTGAAACAAACTCCTCCTAGTGGGTGGTTGACGGGTGCTCTGGTGTGGTTTGCTTCTTCTTTCCTGTCAAACATCTATCGTCCTTGTCTCCCCTTCTTCTTTTTTATGTTTGTTACTCTCTTGTAACAGCTCTAATCTTCAGGCGCTCATATGACCTTATGCAGTTGTGAGCGCCGTAAAACTTCTACTAAAACTAAAAACTCCTTCACCTTGTCTTCATTGACCACACTGGTAGTCGGGAGTCGAGACCTGCTAAGTAGGCCTACTCCGATAAAATTGAGCCCTTCGAATTTTTTTTCCCTTCCCATTCAAGAACCCAATAGGATTTTCTGAAACTGAAATCAATTTTTTTCTTTCTTGGATTCCGTTTCCGTTGGTTTTGTGTAATTGATCATAAAGGACGTTGAAATGCACTGGTTTATATGCATTACTTGGAGGATTTGTCATATATGACGTGTTTATGCTGTGGTTTATTTGCATTGTGGCTCGCACGATTTGTCGTAAATGACGCGCTAATGCACTGTTTTACTTTCATTACTTGGAGGATTTGTCGTAATTAATGGGGAAATTAACTGGTTTATTTGCAACTTACTTTAACAGCCACCTGTACAAACGACAACTTCTCATATTTCCCCCAGTCTACTCTAGCGGCCACCTATCCAAGACAAATCACCTGTACAAATGACCTTGTCCCATTCCCCCCAACTTGCTCGGACAATTTTGACTGATGTTAATTGTGCCTTTTTCTGTCTGTTGTTGCCCAGGAGACGAACACTCTTCTGGACCTGGTGTCCCGCGGAACCATCGACCTCTTCCACCAGCTGACAGAGAACCAGAACGGCTCGACGTCCGACTCCCCGATGAGCCTCCCGACAGAGCACAAGTCAGTTCACTTGAAAATTGTTCCGCAAAATACGGGGCTGTTGTGGAAATATTCATGGGCTGAGAGCTGAAAGGGGTCCATTTTGGCCTAAGTGCAAAATCAACCATTCTAGAAGCATTCGAAGGATATTGTATCAAGTCTGCGAATATTAAATGAAGTCGGCCTGGTGGTTTTGCCACAATGGCAATTTCTGATGTGTCTATGTCAAAGAGTTACCTATTACGCGTCGCTGTAAAAATCTTTTTCTCAAAACAAGGAGTGTGGGCGTAGTCACCTCTAGCCCTCGGCCGAACATAATTTTAAAGTCTTTTTCATAGCTGTCAGCCAGTGAATAAAAACATAATTAATGCATTCTAGGGGCTCTTAGTACGATAGTCTGTTTTCATATTGTATAATAATACATGTTAGCTGTTTTCTAGTGTTGCTCTGTGCTTACTTACTGATAGTGAAAAAAAAAAATGAACTCTTAAGAATGGATTTGTGAAAATTAATGAGAGCAAAGAAAAATTATTAATTTTCTAGACAGGATTTGCAAATTGATAACAGTAGTGAGAATGAATGAAACCCAAAAGTCAATGGGAGAGATGTTTTGGTGCTGGTCCTCTTTCAATAATGTGGATTTATTGAATGTGGAAAGTGCATTAAGGGTTTGGAGGGGTTTGTATTGGCAAGTGCCCACCATCTTGACCAGCTATGTGAGGAAAGTCTGTTTTTTTTGGGGGGGGGGGGGGGGGGGGGGGTTGAAAAGTTTGCAGCTATTTATAAACAGGCATGGTTTGTAAAAAGCTGTTTGAAATCTAAGTCTGTGGTATTGCGGCTTGGCTCTTTGCCCTTGCATGTCGATGATATAAGTTCCATTTCTTGAGTGGGGAAGTTTCATATCACCACGTGACCACCAACCTCTTTCTATCCAAATTTCTCAGCTTCCAATCTAGACAGATCGGTTGTGTTTATTAAATTAATTGTAAGATCGGTTGTGTTTTTTTCATTAATTGTAAGACAAATGAACAGGCTTTAAGATGATATCAATAAAGCCACACGCCAAAATTTGATGAGAGCTTGATTCCACCATGTCATGACTTTAAAAAACGCTGCGGGGATGGGGGGTGTGCTGCTGAATTTCAGATTGTCATTTATACTGGTGATTGTCTGAGATAGGTAACTGTTAGACAAGGATTGACTGGAGTTGAAATTAAAGGCAGAAGTATATTCCAATTTGTCGAATTTTCATTATTTTTCTTTTGTGTCAAGGAGCAACTCTGAAAACACGATCTGGCTGGTGGCGCCGCTGATCGCCAAACTGCCAAACGCCATCCAGGGCCGCGTGCTGAAACTGGCCGCGCAAGTCCTGGAGAGTGGGAACAACCTGTTTGTCTCGGCCAAGAGTAAGCAGGAGAAGGAGAAGAACATGAAGAGGTGGGTTGTTTTGTGTGGAAGTGTGCGTGTGTGTGTGTGTGTGTGTGGTAGGCGACAATCTGTTTGTTTCAGCCAAGAGTAAGCCGGAGAAGGAGAAGAACATGAAGAGGTGT